CTAACTACCTCCTACGTCACACGTCTCCCCTCTTGTACCTTTGCCGAGGTCTCGAACCAGCTGACGAAGCCATTTTCCCTGCAGAAGGAGTCCAGTTTGGGCTGCTGGGGAGCCAGCTGGTCGGACTTGTTGGCCAAGAGCACAGCTGGAACTGGCCTCCCATTGTTTAGAGTCACCTTAAGAAAGAAGAGAGATGGGATACGTGATGGTTGTAGAAATCTGCAACTTCCTTACAGGCCAAACCATATGCAAATAAAATTGACCCTTGTCTTATCTGTCTGTAGGAATGTGTCAGTATACTCAAAAATGATTTGTGTGTGCAACATGCCTGAACGATCCTCACTGCTCTGAACGGCATCATTTGTAGATGTCATGAGAAGCCATCCGTCAAAGCCAGGGACCAGATGATAATCAAAAGGCTTACAGGCCATCTTTACTTGAAGGGATTTGTGGCATTGTGTGCTTAGAAAATGAAAAAAATCATTTGTTGACTTATTCAACAGGAACAGTGCTCCCTAATTGTACTGAGTTGCTAGTTTAAAAAAGTAAAACCTTCAGTTACTTGGAGGCAACATGCAGAACCAAGATGTGAAACCAACATTGACATGCTAGTTACTTCTGCTGCAGCTATAGCAACAAAGGCATGAGAGCTGCAGTGTTTCACAGAGGTGAACTGTATTCCTCTAAATTCTTAATAAGAATCATAAAGAACTAGAATTGCATTCAGTAGAGAGCACGCCTCTGCCAAGGCCAAACAAACCAACATAATGAGACACTGGTGAAATCATAACCTCATCGGCAAACACATCTCAATTTTTAAAAAACTTCAGGTCATCCAAATTACTAAGAAATAAATAGACAAAATAAGAAGAAAAGTTAGATTTAGTTGGCACAGCACTGACATCTGTCTTTGCAGAAACAGAGGAATTGTTAATAAATCTTTACCAGATCCCCCTCATGTCTGTGATGATTTTTTAGAAGAAGAAGAAGAGATACTTTATCGATCCCTCAAGAGGAAATTCTTTTATGTGGCTAGATATTCATCTGTCGATTACCCGTATATTCGTAAGTATTATTTATCACAAACAGAAATGATCATTTTGAACACATTGGGAGTTAAGTAAAACTAATTCCCTTTCATTTTTCCGAGGTTTGTCTGAGGGGAGGCCCACAGTCTCAGATTCAGGGGCTGCATTCTTCTGCGGCTGCATTTGAAGATTGATTAAATCACATCTAGGCTGTCCCTTTTCAAAGGCTCCTTCAAATGTGGCAGAGAAATCTAGCCTTCAATTCCAGAGCAACAAAAGATCCAAAAGAGTAGAACCCCTTTCAGTCCGTCCAGGATTCATTGTGATGACGAAGGTCGTGTGTGGCTGACTGAGCTGCAGTAAGAGCAGCCGCTTTAAGCAGCTTACAACGCCATGGCAAGGGGCAGACAAGCAGCCAAATCTGCCGTCTCATTTCAGTTCTGGATTTGCAGTCTACTTGGTCAGAGAAGGCAAAGACGGAGGTGTAAACAAAGATGTGGCCTTTGTAGACTGAGTCCTTGGGATGCAGCCAGTAAATGGGACTAAACTGTGAAGTGGATGATGCATCACCAACCACTTTCAATACCAGTGCTTGAAGAAAAACATTTCTACTGTGCTTTCCTTTTCAGTAGAACTGCATCTTATATAACCATGAACATTATGCTTAGTTTTTATGAACATTATGAATGTAACCTTGACATGACAACATGTGCAGGTATGGATTTTATCTACACCTTTAAAAAAGGCGCAGAAAGACAGGGAGAGAAAAGGCCTCAGTTTGAGTCTCTCCACCAGATGTAGACCACAGGTGGGTCGACTGCTCTGTGGAGCTCACAGAGCTGTGATCTGACCTTTGAGTCCAGGTCGTCTTTCCACTTCAGCACAGCTTCGAACGTAGAGGCCCTCGATACGTCAAACACCACAAGTGCTCCGACTGCCTCCCGGTAATAGACACGAGTCATGTTCCCGTACCGCTCCTGTCCTGGGATGCATGACACACACACACACACACACACACACACACACACACACAGACATAATGCTGGATGTGAAGCTACCTTAAAGTTCCAGAAAATGAAATCAACTCACAACGTTCACTGCTGACAGGTATAACAGTGTATGTGTGTGTATGCTCTACAGTCGTTGCCGTCATGTGAGTGATATTATGACCATGGGTCACTTGAGTCACGGCCAGCCACAAGATCTACATTCCTCAACCAGACACGAAATGACAGGGAGGGACCCGTGCAGGAGTCCACTGGACTGACACACACTTTCACTGGGAGTTCACTCCGCTCACTTCATCTTCTCAGGTTTGGCCTGTGTTAGAGGGTCATTTCCATTTGTCCTGTATAGTGTCAAGATGATGAGGTGATTGCTGTGGAAATCACTTACATTAAACATGACTCTCAGGCATTTGCATGATAAACTGAGATATCTACCGGCACTGTCCAGTTTGTGCTCTTGTGTTTGTTCTTGTCACACGTGCTCTCCTTCCTAAATCGACTCTCATTTCCTTAAGTAGCTTTTGTTTTAAAGCTGACATGACATGTTTTAGAAGCTGCTGAAGCGGAGACACACACACCCACACATGGGTTTGCACAGCTGTTCTTTATTGACTGTGGACACCCTAAGCAAAGCCTTATTCCTAACCTTAACCATGAAGAATCCATGCCTCTCTTTAACCAGGACCTCAGAGGTGATGTTTAGCCTCATTAGGATCAAGCTTGAGATCAGTGTTTATGTTGGAAATGAGTACACAAACAGACACACACATACACAGTTGTAAAAGTCACCTGATGTGTAATAAACCTGTGATAAAGTGTGACAGACCTGCAATGTCCCACAGCTGCAGCCGGATCACTGTGTCATTGTCCCACTGCAGCACCTTCAGGGCGAAGTCCACCCCGATGGTGGCTCTGTAGTGCTGGGAGAAGATCTGATGGACGTACCGCTTGATAATGGACGTCTTCCCGACCCCCAGGTCCCCGATGACCAAGACTTTGAACAACAGCTCCTGCTGCATGGCTGCAGCTCTGCAGGAAAACTTACCTCCTCAGTATAAAGAAGAAAACTTTGATGGTGAGTCAAAAAAACAATTTACTGAACTTAAAGTAAAGTCCTTGAAAATAGAAAAATATTATAAATAGTACATTTTCTTTTTTCTAAAATAAAATGAAGTGAACTCTGAAGTCCTCCTCTGTTCTCAGTCTGAAGCAGTTGACTCTGAGCAACTTCAATACAGCTGTTCATAGCAGCTGGTGCGTTCAAGTACTCATTGTAAACAAGAGATTCAGGCAGAAAGCTTCTCAGGATCTATACCACAATATACATTTACAGTCCAGTATTTAAAAATTAACAAAAGAAAAAATACAGAAGTGTTTTAGAAAAATACTCATGTAAAATGTAGTACCCTATGACACACAATTATTACATATACAATCAAGTGTATTTAGCATTTTCCTATCTAATTTGTTGCTGCGCTAATTAAAACATTAACTTTCAATATGGTTGTTATTAGATTATAATATTTGGTTACCAGTTAAGGATCAAGGATGTAGCATATTCTTATTATAAATAAATAAATAAATAAAAATTAGAACACACTTCAATCTAAAATCTATGGTTTGCAATATCAATAAGCATTAAATCAAAAATCAGTCATAGGCCAATGAAAATAAAATATTAAAATCACATAAAATGATTTGAAATTCATCATCTCTAAACTTTAAATACTAAGGCTAAAACAAAATGTTGTTTCAAAATGTTTTTTCTTTTCCAGATGTTGAACTTTAAAACATTAACACATTAACATGGGTATTAACCCCACATTAATAGACAACATTTTAATTCAGTGTTCTTTCTATGGGTCCAAATCAAAACATATGTTCATCAAGGATCTTTAAGGTCAAAACCTTACGATAGTAAATATATTCTTAAGAGAAAATAGATTTTATTTAAATCTTCAGTGAGTTTAAATAGCCACAGTAAAATAGAATGAGTATTTATTTACTGTGTCTACATTTGTTTTTATCCTTTTATATAGAATTCATTGTTTTTGTTTCTTTGAAGTTTGAGGTTAAAGGGGGTTGGATGATTTAAAAAAAAAATCTAAATGAAGCTTAGAACAAACCAAAACATGTTTTATATGCCACCAACAAAGAAAGCACAACTTAAGAAAGCTGTCTGTCTTCCCACGCATCAAAAATAAACCCATGCTCGTGTGTTTTTGTTCCTGCAGTCTGTGAAGGCCTCACTTTGAGCTCGGCTGATGCTGCTGCGCCTCTGTGTGTTCAGTTACGGTAATGGTGCTGATGAGGGAGAGGAGGAGATGTGTGATGCTGCTGTTTGTGTCCTGCTGCCATTTCATCAGCACATCGTCACAGACACAGCAGCCGCTCTGCTCCATTTAACCATCATTCACTCTCCCAGCGGGACGATTCCACCTTAAAGATATTGACGACAGACAGGAGGGTTTCAAAATATGATGTAATATATGAGATTTCTCCAGAAGCAACGAACACAACTGGAGCATCATCTATTGAAAACACAACCATCGATATGGGGTTTGATTTTTAAACATACTGAGCCGATAACTTTATGGTAAGTCGTCATCTGCTGTTTGTATTATTGCAAATGATTCAAGTAAATAATAAACTCTTAAACTGACATCAACAGGGCAGGGCCTCGTCATTTGCTGTAAACTTATATCTTGTTGTGGCCGCAGCTGGAGGCCCTCTGTGAATCTCATATCAAACCAGCCGTCACTTTTCTACCTTCAAGGCCTCATTTGCTTTTTAACAACCTGTCTGCGACCCACATGGGGGATGACTGTGGCAGTGTGTTTACTGAGTAGTAGAGGAGTGGCCTCCCTCCTCCCGTCCGTCCCCTCAGATTATATCACTACTGTAAATCACATGCACACTGCTGAGAGGACCTGTTATTATCTTACTGTGATAATCTCAGTATTTTAAAATGTCTCTGGACAGCCTGTGGATTACCTGCACATTAATCTGTGACTCATCCAAATAGAAAACAGTGATTAAACACATCCCTTTTTTCACTGTTGCTTTAAGTCTTGGTAGAAGCTTTAAAGTGAATTAAATCCAAGCAGATTTATTTCACATGTTTCTATTTTCTCTACGTTGTGGTCTTATATATAATAATGTTTGACTTTGTGACAATCCTTACATTAATATTTTACAATAACGTGGACACATGGTTTCCTGCTTCATGTGCGTTAAAGACATAAAAAGACAGTTAAAGGTGAACACCACGTTTATGTCGCATATTTCATAAAGGCCAAATATCTGCAGTGATTTTTGAGAGGTAATTTGTTTTCCTATGTCTCACTGCAATTAACTATATTCTATCAATAATATAAGAACATTCATTTTAAAAGGTGATGGTTTTTTGGTTGTTTCCATCCATTCCAATGTGAGAATTATGGTAAACTTTACATCTTTGGGTTTTGAACTGTTGCTTGGAAAAAATCAGATATTTTGATTTCCCAGTATGGAAAATATAGTGACTGAGTGATTCATTCTGAATTTTGCTACAGACTTTATTTCCCATGAGACATGGAGACGATATGGCTTTATCAGTTTCGCCTGATCGTCATCGGAGACTCCACAGTCGGCAAGTCATGTCTGATCCGCAGGTTCACCGAGGGCCGCTTCGCCCAGGTGTCAGACCCCACCGTGGGGGTGGACTTCTTCTCCAGGCTGGTGGAGATCGAGTCGGGCAAAAGGATCAAACTTCAGATCTGGGACACTGCAGGACAGGAGAGGTTCAGGTAAAGATCAAACTGCTGCTCTTATATCTATCATCTTTTCATCTATTATTTATCTATCAATCATATATCTCCTCATATATGTCTCTGTCTCCTCTCCTATCGCTAACTTCCCTCTCCACCTGTCATCTCTCTCATCTCTGTGTTCAGAGTCACGCTGTTGTTTACACAGATTTCATTGGCTGAGCAGCATCATGTGGGATGGCTTAACTCGCATGCAATTGAACTGTAAGGTCTGCTAAACAAGTACCGTAAAGACTAGGAAAGCTGTGCTGGTAAAAATTGAAGTGCCCCGTCAAAATGTAGAATCCCTCAGTAATTTATTGATTATTGGTCTGGGTCCGCATAGGACGGCGTCTGGGTCCGGACCTGGACCGCGGTCCGCCTGTTAGTGACCTGATAGATGATAGATTATATTATCTATCATCTATCATCTATTATCTTTTCATCTATTATTTATCTATCAATCATATATTCTTCTATCTATCTTCTATCTATCCTCCATCTTCTATCTATCTTCTATCTTCTTCTTTCTTCTTTCTTCTTTCTTCTTTCTTCTTTCTTCTTTCTTCTTTCTTCTTTCTTCTATCTTCTATCTATCTTCTATCTATCTTCTATCTATCTACTGTATCTTCTCTCTTCTACCTTCTCTCTATCTTCTTCTATCTAACTATCTTCTATATATCTATCTTCTCTCTTCACTCTTCTATCTATCTTTCTTCTCTCTTCTATCTATCATCTATCTTCTATCTTCCATCTATCCTCTATCTTCTTTCTTCTATCTTTTTTCTATCTATCTATCCTCTATCTGTCTTCTATCTATCTATATTCTCTCTTCTATCTTTTTCTATCTTCTATCTATCTACTGTATCTTCTCTCTTCTACCTTCTTTCTATCTTCTTCTATCTATCTATCTTCTATCTATCCTCCATCTTCTATCTATCTTCTATCTATCTTCTATCTTCTATCTTCTATCTTCTATCTTCTATCTATCTTCTATCTTCTATCTATCTTCTATCTATCTTCTTTCTTCTATCTTCTATCTATCTTCTATCTTCTATCTATCTTCTATCTATCTTCTATCTATCTTCTATCTATCTTCTTTCTTCTATCTTCTATCTTCTATCTATCTTCTATCTTCTATCTATCTTCTATCTATCTTCTATCTATCTTCTATCTTATTCTATCATTCTTTTTTCTATCTTTTATCTTTTTTCTATCTATCTATCCTCTATCTGTCTTCTATCTTCTTTCTTCTATCTTCATTCTTCTATCTTTTTCTATCTATCTTCTATCTATCTTCTATCCATCTATATTCTCTCTTCTATCTTTTTCTATCTTCTTTCTTTTATCTATCTACTGTATCTTCTCTCTTCTACCTTCTTTCTATCTTCTTCTATCTATCTATCTTCTATCTATCTACTGTATCTTCTCTCTTCTACCTTCTCTCTATCTTCTTCTATCTATCTATCATCTATCTTCTATCTTCCATCTATCCTCTATCTTCTTTCTTCTATTTATCCTCCATCTTCTATATATCTTCTATCTATCTTCTATCTTCTTCTATTTATGTTCTATCTAGCTTCTATCTATCTTCTATATTCTTCTATCTATCTTCTATCTATCTTCTATATATCTTCTCTCTATCTTCTATCTATCTTCCATCTATCCTCCATCTTCTATCTATCTTCTATCTTCTTCTTTCTATCTTCTATCTATCTTCTATATATCTATCTTCTATCTTCTTCTATCATTCTTCTATCTATCTTCTATCTTTTTCTATCTATCTATCCTCTATCTGTCTTCTATCTTCTTCTATCTATCTTCTATTCTTTCTTCTATCTATCTATATTCTCTCTTCTATCTATCCTCTATCTTCTATCTTCTATCTATTTATCTTCTATCTATCTATTTTCTTTCTTCTTTCTTTCTATCTTCTCTCTATCCTATATCCTCTATCTTCTATCTTCTCTCTTCGCTCTTTTATCTATCTATCTTCTATCTTCTATCTATCTTCTTTCTTCTAGCTATCTTCTATCTTCTTCCATCTTCTATCTATTTTCTATCTATCTTCTATCTATTAATTCATTTATTCATTTATTTTTTCCTCCAGGTCTATCACCAGAGCCTACTACCGCAATTCAGTGGGCGGTCTCTTGCTCTTTGACATCACAAACCACAGATCCTTCCAAAATGTCCACAGCTGGCTGGAGGAGGCTCAGAGCCACGTGCAGCCTCACAGCATCATCTTCCTGCTGGTGGGTCACAAGTGTGACCTGGAGGCCCAGCGTCAGGTCACTCAGCAGGAGGCGGAGAAGCTGGCAGGAGCCTTTGGGCTGCGCTACGTGGAGACGTCAGCGCGGGATGCCACCAACGTGGAGAAGGTGCAACTCATGCACCACCACAATGTTTCAGGATTCACAGGTTTTCTATACAAGAAAGAAAGAGATTTTTACTATTGGAATTCAGTGCAACATAAACTAGAACAACTGTTTTTTCTTATGTAATTATTAATTATGCATTTAATTATTTGTTTAATGAAATATCCTCAAATAGCAAAAGAAAAAAGACATTTAGCAAATCCTGTTTTTTGGCATTTTTCCTTTAAAATCTTGATTGAAACTTTTATCAGTATCTATTGGAAATGATATAAATTCATTGTCTTGTCAATCGACTCCTCATCTTAGCTCCACATGTTTATATTTATGAGTTATCCGGGTGTCATTTTCCTTCCGGTCTTTCCTTCAGGCCTTTGTGGATCTGACGAGGGACATCTTTGACCTGGTGCGGAGCGGGGACATCAAGATCCAAGACGGCTGGGAGGGCGTCAAGAGCGGCTTCGTTCCCAACACCGTCCATTCCTCTGAGGAGGTCACCACAGGCAGCCGGCAGTGCCTCTGCTGATTTACCTGGCTGCAGCATGTGGGGGTGACGGGCGGTAAATACTTCATGTGGGCAGCGTCCCTGCTGCGTGAACATGTAACTTCTACACACAAGACATTGTTTTGTCTTTCAGTGCCTGTTTGTGGCTCTGTGCAAATGTGGGACCTTTTATTGATCCCCGAACAGGCGGAGAAGCACAGGAGACATCCTTCACCCCCTCCCTGTTCTGTGTGTGTGTGTGTTTGTGTGGCAGCATTAAAGCAACATTAGGTCACTTTTTAACCTTAAAATAGCAGCTTCAAAATAAGTTTGATGGTTCACTGAATGGAATAAAGAGAGTTGAGCCCCTTTCATTCCCACTCCTCATCTTTTCTGATCTTGCTCTATATAACTTAGGTGAGTGGGTGCGACTTCCTGTGAGAGGCGAGGGACTGACTTAAATTACAAGAATCAGGTTCAACAAGTTTAACCGTGAGGCTGAACTGTAGATCATTAGCCTTCTTTCCATCCTCTGCGTAGGTTTTGTCCGTATTTATGTGTGTCTTTTGAAAGCTTAGAGATGAAAGAGAAGCACCACTGGGAATCCTCCGGGGGCAGTGCAGCCAATGGCCCAAGCAAGACAGCTATATGACACGAGGATGAAAGTTTTTGAGGAGAATCTTTGCGACACAACAAGTTGATGTTATTTCACCCAGTTACATAGATAAACTTTACAAGTCAGCCTCTTTACATTATCACAACCTCCTCCACCATCGCCATGTTTGTTGCCGTAGTCTCTCGCCTCTGTGCTGCCCTCTATTGCTCAACAAGCCATGCCAACATAAAGCACATGAGGAATATGGGCGGTGACAGTTACATCGTTGGTATCACGCAGCATGAAGAAGCCTAGAAGTCATTAAAAACCAGCGTTTATCCCCAATATTCAGTGAGAAAACTTAAAATATGCAGAATTCTGAACAGAGTTTGTTGGATTTGTAACAGAGGCAGCTGTTCTAGGTCAGGAAGCCGAGGATCATGGGTAATATGGACCGTTTACTTGAGTAGAGCTACACATTCAGTGCTCTTTATGAAAATCACTTCATAACCTTGGACTTGACAGAATGAATCACCACTTGTGGCTGCAGAGGGCGCTGTTGCTCAGTAAAAGATACACAGTGTTGCTTTAACCCTCAGCTCTTTCCAACACTCAGACCTTGTACAGATTGTGTCCAGTGAGACAGAGGAGACAGGAAGAGATCTTCACCGACTGTACTGCACTAAAAATCCAAGTGGCTTAATACGATAACGAAAGTGAAATCAAATCGAACCAAAGCTTGAGATGTTGTCATGTCTGTTTGTGTGAATGCTGGAGAACAAGTTTTCACTGTGAGAATTGTTCTGTCTGCTGAGAAGGAACAAAACTGTAGCTGCTTATACTGATGACTACTGGACCACGGCACAGAATTCAATGGTTAATACCAAATACATGTTTACTGCTCTGTGGTGGTGAGAACCATAGACTGTTTATAAAGATAGACGACGTGTGTTCACCTCCTCTCACTATCCAGAAATGAAGCTAAAATATCCCAGATACGAACGCTTCGATATCAAGATTTTGCAGATAGACGCACTGGACCAATCGTGAAATCATTCTCAACTGTCAATTGTAACTTTACACCCCATTTTTATTGCATTAAATAAATTCAAACCAAAGTTACTGGAATAACAAACACTTGAACAAACGTTGGTGTGATTAACGACCTGAAATGACTCAAACCATCTTTGAGAAATAAATTTGAGTTTTTAGTTTGGTACATGTTCCATCTGCTAACACGGAGGAGGTGGACACCAGACGGTGATGTCGTCCGTCTTTATATACAGTCTATGATGAGAACAGGTACGATATAATAACCTTAAAGCCTTTTGTATGGAAGCCCAGTGTGTTCAATTAAAATGAACATAAAACACATGAATAAACATGAGAATAGATTGTGAATAAAAAAATAAAATAAACAAATCATGTCACAGGACTAATGAAGAAAAAACAATTTCTTCATTTTTTCTGAATTCATCCTGTGACAACATTAAAATGGGGCTTTATAAACAAAGATAGTAGCAATAGAAAGAATACAGTTTTTTGTCTGATTTATACAGTTTATAATGTTATACCTGCAATTAATTATTGAATATGACGTATTTATTTGTGTAACATTGAACAGTTTGAGGCCCCATATTTCATGAGTCTGAACACGACGCCTTCTCTTCTATGCCTCCAATCCATTTATACAAATTCAGTGTGTCCATATATATAATCAGTGCATGCCTCCATTTTAACAGAAATTTTCCAAAGACAGAAAATAATTTTTATTTTTGATATAATGTAAATAACCATTTCACTCTGGACAGAAAGAGCAGAATGAATAAAGTCTCTCCATCTGTTGCTTAGGGATGAGAAACAATCTGAAAATGAAAAGGAATATTTGAAGTGGACAGTTGCACAAAGTTCAGCTCTGACCAACGACATTAATACTGATTACTTCACTTCACGGTTTAGAAGCACTATTTATTCTGACTGTGCGGAGGACGAGTCTCTTTGGAGTGCCTTTTGGAGGAACGATGCCAGAGCACACACACTTAACTTCCTGTCCACACATTCAAACATACAACTGTGTGTTCATCTTGTGAATATAAACTGAAAGGAGGCAGCAAACATGCTGAGTTCACATCACACAACCTGTAAATAATTGATCTGAAACCAAACCCCTGACATAGTCGACTGTTCCATGTTGCTGTGACATCAAGTGTCCTCAATAATTAACGTCTGGAAACATAAATAAAAATTTGTGCAAAGATTGCTTCTTTTTTTCATCATTTAATTGACTTTCAGTTGGATGATGCTGTTTGTGGCCACTAGAGGACGTCAGTGTGTGGAGAAAGAGGGGAGGGAGGGGAAAAGGGAAAATTCTTTCAACCTCAAAAACATTTAGTTTTAAAGGTCCACTGTGTAAGATTTAGGTGAAAGGGAACTTTAATGTAGAATAATCCTCACGATGTTTTCACTAGTTTGTTTCATGTAAATTGCATGAATTGTAGTTTTCTTTACCCCAGAAAAGCTCCTTTATATTTAAATACTTTATATTTACATGGAGGGGACCCTCTCTACGGAGGCCGCCATGTTTTTTACATTAGTCCAGACTGAACAAACTAAACACCTTTTGAGTTTTTATGACAATTAAAGGTTTCCACAGTTTATTTTTCATGTTTGGAAGGGGAGGGTGAGGTGAGAGGTGTTCAGCTGCAACATGCAATTTCAACACTAGATATCACAAAATTCTACACACTGTACCTTTAACTAAACAACAATAAAAGTGATC